AAACAAATAAATATGTTTTTGGTAGACAGTATAATATCTTCTTAATAAGATCATGTTAGTAGAAGGGATAACTTAGCAAAAAAACAACTAATAACTATCACTGAAAAAAAATCTTAGAACTAAAAGTAGCTCCTCTATCGGCCCACTTTTCCTTCCCATTTTTTTTTTTTTTAATTTTTATTGTGATTTGGGTGAAAATTTATAAAGCAAATTCACTTTTCATACAGCAGCTCACATACACGTTGTCTCATGGCACTGACTACAATTTCCCACAATGCAACAGCTCCCTTCTCACTTCCTCCCCATAGTTACCTCTTTCCCGTGTCCTTCCCTCCCATGCACTCCTGCCCCCTAAGCTGTCTCCCTGTACATACACAGTCCTTCTATTCTCCCATGATTGATCTCTCCAAAGAGTGAATCTACCTAATGTAAATATTCAGCCCATATACTTGTCTTTTGTTTGGCTGGAAGCCACAGAAGTGGGTGCAATTTCAGACCTGAAGGGCAGCTAGGGGCATAGTCTCAATGGTCCCAACAGGCTCTTAGACTAGCAAACTGGGGCCTTTTTTTTTTTTTAATAATTTTGAGTTTTGTTCCATATTGTTCTCCCACTCTATCTGTCCCCTGTGACTATGGTCCTGAGCCTACATGTCCAAATACTCACTCCCTCCGGGTAGCTGGCTGTGGCCAAGAAGTGACTACAACCTTTCCCCTTGTCAGCTCTACTATACACCCGGGAATTCTTACAGAACATACCAATACACTTATAGAAACATTGTCTGCCAACCTGATACATGGCCTTGGGCACACAACCCCCTGCATATTGTTGTTGTTGTTGTTATGTGCCATCGAGTTGGCACCAGCCACTCCTCGGAAGGAAGGTTGGGCAATCTACTTCTGTAATGATACTGCCTTGGCAACCCAAGGAGGGGTCGCTATGAGTCGGGTCTGACTAGACGGCACATAACAACAACTCCCTGCATAGCCATACCTAATAGTTCAGCCTCTCCACCCATCTATCCACCTGTATATCAATGACTGCCTTCACTGACACACAGTATTATGTGTGCAAAAGGGTTCATCTTTG